ATTTGGGTGCCACTACAGGACCTTGGTTGCAACAATGATCTATACGGTCCCAGTTTATGTCAATAACGTCACAACATCTCTTTGAGTGATCCATGAATGATGCATCCAATCCTGGAGATGAGAGCTCCACCAAGCTGGAGTCGTGGAGGCTATCCGCAGAAACTGCTCCACTAACCACATACCCCTGGTTTCAGTCAGTGGGGAAGAAGTCATCAAAAAGTGTGCCAAGACCATTGGTATCAGCCCCAAGATCTCCAAGACCAGTCATAGCACTGGCATAGATGGCCTTACTGCTCAACGCTTTAGCACCAACTCCAGGACAAAGAGACCCTGTACCAACAGGCTGGCACGGATTCCAAGTGCAGCTTGGCGCATCCAGCAGTTTTATCCCGAAAAGAGGATTTGAAACACTCCTCCAAAGACAAATCTAACCCCTCCATGACATTGAGGGCTAGGAGCAACGTACAGACTATGAAGACAGCACAGGAGACAGTTGTACTTTTACAAATTTTGACACTGAGACTCACACCGGTACCAACATCCGTGCCAGTCAACAACCCTTTCTGGTACCAAGATGCACCTTAGAGGTACTGCCATCATCTCTGCACTTGGGACAGACACCAGCACTGGAGGCCCCAGCACCAGACATACCCACAATGGTACTGCTGTTCACAGAGATGTACTGCTCTTCACCATATCCAACCCATTCCTTCTCTCCTACTTCAAGTAGGGAACCTTCTTCCATCAGATCAGTGTAAGGATCTGTGGGACTAGAACCCAGGTCTGTAGAGCTCAGGGCTGCAGTTCCTACATCATCACCAGGGAGCCATCCAGAGCCCCATCCAAGGAGCATTGTGGGGATTAGAACTGCCCACTGGGTCCAGAGCAGCAATACCCTGCAGCCTTTTGATTGGCCCATGTTCACTATTTAACCCTAGAGGGTGCCCCAGGAAGTTGTTTAGACAACCACACAGACCTCTGGCCTGCTGCAACTCCAGACCTCCCCTAGCTTTCTGCTCTCCAGTTTCCTAACTCAGCCTGACTCTGACCTTTACTTTTGTCTGTTGATCCCATCTCTAGCGATTGCTCCTATCCCTGCTCACTGACTACTCCCTCGTGGCCACGCTTGACTGTGTGGACACCAGCCCAGCCATAACCGCTAGGTCAAACCACTTACGCCTCTGTCTCTTACTCTCAGAAAAGGATCTTAGAGGGAGTTCCAGTAACATTCCTTACCAGGCACTGATGCATGACTGTAGTTGACCAGTCCACTGCCAATCTGGCCAGTACCCTTATAATCTGCACCTTGACCATACTGGCCCTCCTGGAGCCATCCACAGTCCAGGAGCAGACCCCCGTTGCATGTGTAGGGGAAAAGGATGACATCTCAATCACCACTGGGTCAATGGCCAAGCCCTCCCCTCACCAGAACTAGGGGAAGCCCTTCATGAGCAAGGCAAGGCAGCTTGAGAGATGCTCCAATTGTCCTCCCCACTAAAGGGGTCTTCATTTTCTCCTAATGAGGTGCTTGCTTCAGCCCAGACACCAACCATTGTTGACTTTAGAGCCTTCCAAGACGTGCTCTCCAGGATAGCTGAAACATCAGCTATTGAGATAAGTGATGCAAGAGAACATGCACAAGCTGTTTGACTTTTTGAGCTCCTCAGTGCCATCAAGGATTGCCCTCCTGATTTAATGAGGGCATACTGGACCCAGCAAAGGGACTGTGGCATGCCCCAGTCTCGCTTTCCCCTGCTTGGAACTAAGAAGAAAAGCACTGCCAAATACTGTTCAAGAGCTTTGAACATTTTTACATGCATCCAGCACCAGGGTTGCTAGTAGTATCTGTTGTTCAGGAGAAAAGACCAGATTCACCAAGGAACTCCTAAAGATAAGGACCCCAGGAAATTAGTCAGATGGCACATTCATCTGCCTCCCTCCAGGTGTGTATCATGAACTATAAGATCTTGTTCATGAAAAGAGTTTTTTATGGGGGAAAGAGTGTGATTGTTCCACCCCCTTCCTATTTTGTCTCCCACAGGAATGCAGAGAAGAGCTCAGAGAAACCATCAGAGGTCCAGATGATAGCAAAAAACAGCGCTACAAGTAGCAATGGACAAGTCTGGTATGGTTGCTAGATCCATGACTATGGCAATCACAATGCACCAGGATTCCTGGTTACAGGCACCTGTTCAGCAACCAGATAGCTGAGGCACTCCCATTCCCTCAAAGCTTCAAGGACAGTGCTGAGGTCCCTAGGGATCTACATCCCTGCACCAGATCAGAGGCAGATCCTATCAGGAAGCTCTGACCAGCCTTAGTTGTGCCCTTTCCCTGTTTGCGCAGCTGGGCCTCCTGGTGAATTACAAGAAATTGTCTTTTATCCCATCACAGATTATAGTTTATACGGGCCAGGATAGATTCCATGACAGCAAGGGCTAACCTGCCAGAAGACAGATTCCTCTTTTTCTAGTTAGCACTGAACAGAGTGAAATCACAACCAGCTATGATGGTACAGATTTATCTTGCATTATTAGACTATATGTCCCTGTGAACATACCTGATGCTGCTTGCCAGAATTCATCTGAGGCCTCTACAATTCTGGCTCAGGTAAGTTTACTCCTAGACTAAGTACCTGATGAGCAGGAAAGTCCTACTCCTATCTC